ACTAAACTCAGTAAAATTTCGATATATATGTCTATTATAGAAGATAATTTATCTAAGCATGTTTCGCTGTGTACACATGTATGTTAAACTTATTTTTAAATTACTTATTTTGTCAAAAGTAGTAAGAAAAAATTGTTTACTGTACCACTGTCCAAAACACCAACGATAACATCCTCCCCGTAATTTGCTTTACGCAATAAATCTTCTGCATTTGGAGGGTTTGGATCTCCAAGTCCTTCGAGTAAGTTAATAAATCCCATGATCTCGTCGTGTGAAGCCTCGATAAGGTTGGGTGGCTATGAAACACGCATATCACCCCATCCATCTCTGATCAAGGAAAAAAGATCATTAGCTTACGTTAATTGAGCAAGAAAGGTATAAAGAGGCCTACAAACCCTTACCTCAACTGTACGTCCTTTGCCAAAAAGGAAAAAAATGAGAGCAAAACATGTGGTGTGAACTCACGCCAAAAGGAATGTGAAGCGGATAAAGAATATCGGCTCGGGAAATATTAAGCCCTTGATTTGTCCTCATTTTTAAAATCATTTTTTCTCAAACTCATTTTTTACCACACATTTTCAAGGGGTCCACAACTTTTATCAACATTTTAACTACAAATTCATTAACTTTTATAAAAATATAATTTATGGAAAATGCTACATATACATAATTTTGTACATCATAATTACACGTGGCACGAGATCTAACTTTTAATTCAAATCTCACACTTTCACATCAACGATCGGATCTTATCCACGTCACATTATGGACACCATTNAATGATATCCATAATTACACGTGGCACTGGAGCCAACCTTTTATTCACATCAATAGGCGATCTTGTCCACATCACAGTATGGACACCATTATGTGGCCAAATTATGTACATTTAGATTTTTCCATAATTTATTGCTAAACCAAATAGGGACTCAGTTTCAAAAACGCTTGCGCAGTTCAATTTTTAAAACATGTACAAACCAGAAACGTTAGCCTATCTGAGGTTTAAGTTGAAATTCTGAGAAAGAGGAGCTTTAATTGATAGCTGAATAAATGGAGCAAAAGATGAAAGCTCAATTTTTTTTACAAGGTTACAAGGTCAGCAATATATACAAGATAGTTACAACAATCTTTGTGGTCCCAAAACTTCACAATCAGCTTGCACATGTGCCAACTGGATTATGCTTCACACGTCTATGAAAAATGATTTATGATCATAGGAAGTCTTTATATAAGAAAATGAAGTTTATATGTTGTATACCTGTGGTCATCGTAGCAGATCTTATGGCGGCACTACTCCAACGAGGATGTACAGCCTTAAGAAGTGTAGCGATGGCTGCAACGTGAGGACAAGACATGGACGTCCCCGAATCAATATGGTATTTAACGACTCGATGATCAGAAGGCACGTTTAGGGGAGAAGCCGCTTAGCTCCATGCTGCTAGTATATTTAGTCCCTAGGCTGCAATATCAGGCTGCAAATGGATTACTAAAGTGAATAGACAACACTACGTATTTGTTCGTTTGAATTAGTAATGCCTAAAGGTACCTTGAGAATGTTAGGTTGGATAGCACTCGACCCCCTAGCTGTGAACCGAGCCATGAATGGAGCTGGTTCGGTACCTATGATGGTCTTTGGTTGAATCAACTTGACATTTAGATTGCGATTAGATTTAATGTAATCGTGAACATTGATTGTCGAAGAAACTATGGTCGATGGAATCAAGTATGGCTGGCACACTGCTACTCGTTCATGAAAAGCATTTCCTAGCACAGTTGCTATGCCACCTGTTCTTCGCACTTCTAACGACTCTGAAATACCTACTCTCCAGCAGAAAATAGCTTTTCCTCTTACAAGTTTCGATGAAAGAGTACCAGGTTTGCAGTCTAAAAAATTTCCATTGAACATAATAAGAAAAGTTCCGAATGTAATTGAAATTGTATTAAGGATAAGAACAAAGGAAAGATAGTTTGAACCTTTTCGTGGTATTGATGGTCTTCCCGGGGATTTCGACGTCTCCAGCGTTAACAATGGGATATGTCCGAGTCTTAAAAGGAGTTATGGATTGTCCCTGATTTTGATGGTTCAATCAAAATAAAGAAAAAGGTAAAACCTTTTGTTCATTATAAGATCAAAAATGTACTTTGCAAATGATTTGTTTCTCTATTACCTGGACTATTTTATAATTTCCAAGCATAACCTGAGATGGAAAGATCCGATCTATGATACTTGGCCTGACATTAATTGTTAGAAAAATACGGGTCGTGGGTTGTTCATGTGGGATTACCCGACCCACAAGTTATTAAAAGAGTTGGAGGAAGTAGTTTGAATTTGAAGTTCAGACATGCAACTTTACATAACCACCCTTAATTACCATACAACCTCCAATAATTATGTATAGGAAAAAGATGACATTAAAAATGAAGGGAAAATTCGTATAGAAATTTATACCAAAATTGGAAAGTCCTTATAACCATATTTTGGACATGAAATCTCATAAAAATTTACACTTAAATTGTGGATAATAATCTCCTTCTATTATGATCGGGGATTAGGATCATTAGAGAACAAGAAATGCAGATTTTGAAGTTTTGTAATGCAATGTGATTCAATTATCAAAAGATCTTGAAATTCATCATTTCAACTAAGTTTTTTGACCCCAAATTCATGTTAAAGAATTCTGTAAATTCTTACATTAGTATCAGAGTCGTAAAATTTATCTTTCTTGCATACTATCTTGATGTAAATGGAATTATTATGTTGAAAAATAAATGTATGCCATTTTTGTTGAAACTTGAAACATTGTTAATGGCATATCATGA